GCGTTCTGTGTCCTGTGCATTCTGTTTAAGCAGCGCTGTGTGTGTGTGTGTGTGTGTGTGTGTGTGTGTGTGTGTGTGTGTGTGTGTGTGTGTGTGTGTGCGTGTGTGCGTGTGTGGTGTGTGGTGTGTGTGTGTGTTTGGCTGCAGGTATGCAGACAGAGCCAAGCAGATAAAGTGTAACGCTGTCATTAACGAGGATCCGAACGCACGGCTCGTCAGGGAGCTGAAAGAAGAGGTCAACAGACTCAAAGAGCTCCTCCTGTCTCAGGGGCTCAGTAACCTCATCGCTGCCTCAGGTAATGTTCACATCAGTAACAGTCTCAGGAGCTCACAAGTGGACCGCGCTAAATTAGGGATAAACATATGTGTCTTGGGAGACTCGCCGCGTTCCTTTAAAGCAAAGTTGAAAACGGTCTTGATTGCATGTAGGAATATCTTTGGTGTGCCATGCAGTGACATGGGTTGATCTCATGAAAACATATTCAAACATAACCTATTCACCACAAAAGCGAAGGAAAAAAGTATGTTAAGCCTTTTTATAGCCTTTGAGATTTTTGCATAGACATAATTTTTCCTTCATGTTCAGTGGTGGATTCTCCTTACTTTATAATTGTAAAAAAAAATGTTTAATAGTTTATTATTATTATTTAAATAAGCATAAATAAACGGCTGTTGAGTTTAATAATATACAGTACTGTTAACATTTTTGGGGTCGGTACGTTTTTTATTTATTTATTGTTTTAATTCTACAGTATTATGCTCACCAAGGCATCATTGCATGTCTGTTAAAGGGATAATTCACCCAAAAATGAAAATTACCCCATGATTTACTCACCCTCAAGCCATCCTAGGTGTGTATGACTTAATTTTTGGGGTCGGTACGTTTTTTATTTTTATTTTTTTTAATTCTACAGTATTATGCTCACCAAGGCATCATTGCATGTCTGTTAAAGGGATCATTCACCCAAAAATGAAAAATAGCCCATGATTGACTCACCCTCAAGCCATCCTAGTTGTGTATGACTTTCTTCTTTCAGACGAATACAATCGGAGTTACATTAAAAAATGTCCTGGCTCTTCCAAGCTTTATAATGGCAGTGAATGGGTGTTTCTGTTCAACAGTCCAATAAAGTGCATCCATCCTCTGGGGGGTGAATTAAGGCCTCCTGTAGCGAATCAATGCGTTTGTGTAAGAAAAATATCCATATTTAAAACTTTATAAACCATAATCTCTAGCTTCCGTCGTACGCGCGCTAATTGATGCACTTTATTGGACTTCTTTTGGACTGTTGAACAGAAACACCCATTCGCTGCCATTATAAAGCTTGGAAGAGCCAGGACATTTTTTAATGTAACTCCGATTGTATTCGTCTGAAAGAAGAAAATCATATACACCTAGGATGGCTTGAGGGTGAGTAAATCATGGGCTAATTTTCATTTTTGGGTGAACTATCCCTTTAAAAGACATGCAATAAAAACAAAACTCCAGTGTGACCAATTACACTAACATTCACTTGATCAGTAACTGGCGCACTCATTTTCTCTCAGGGACTGAAACGGGCCGGCCGGCTTTGGGAGGAGCGTCAGGTGAGCTCCATCAGCCCTCGCTCTCATATGCACCGTCTACCTCTGATGCACCGATGGAGGGTGTGACGCCCACCAGTCCCACTGCGCACATCAGCAAAGAGGAGGCTGTGGAGAGACTCCAGGTGCTTTCACAACTTCAGCCAAATACCAGAACAGCAGTGTTGGAGAGCCTACTTTCATAATACAGTTCCTTAATATTAAAGGGAAAGTGCACCCAAAAATGAAAGTTCTGTCATCATTTACTCAACCTGTATGAATAGGTGCGTCCCAAATTGCATACTTATGCACTATTCTATGACGTTTTTTAGTATGAATAGTGCGAGTAGTGCGTTCACACTGTAAATACCAAAAAGAAAAAGTGCACTTTAAATACCCGGATGATGCACTTAAATAACTATTTAATAAAAATTAAGTGTAGAATGTTGGACACTTCATGCATTCAACTGTTGCAGCTTTAATTACATAGCGATGGGGGAGGGGCTATCAGACTCTAATTATGAATGACAAAATTATCTTATATAATTCATACACTACATGGTTGAGTACATAGTGCATAAGTGTATGAGTGCATGGTGTATAGAGAGTCATTTGGGATGCAGCTAATTTCTTTCAGCTTTTGAACACAAAAGAAGATATTTAAAAAATGTTGGTAACCAAACAGTTGACGGCAGCCATTGACTTCCATAGTATGGTAAAAAACACTATGGAAGTCATTGGCTGCCGTCAGTTGTTTGGTCTTCTTTTGTGTTCAGCAGAAGAAAGAAATTCATACAGGTTTGGAACAACTTGAGGGTGAGTAAATGATGACAGGATATTCACTTTTTTGGCGAACTAGCCCTTTAAAATAGGTAAAGGAGTTGCAATTTTAGAAGTTTTGCTAACTTCAAACTCTCTGTACGATGACTTTCAAAGGCATGTCAACGAACCCAATGTCAGCAAATCCAAATGCTGAGAGTGTTTCTAACTAATTAGGGTTATGTACACGGGCCATTCTACAGAATTGGTCCAAAATTAGAGTTAAAACGTCTTGGAAATAAAATGTTATGTATGCAAATTGTATAATATCCAAGGTACATGTTTCTAGTAATTGTGCAGGTAATTCTCATATTGTGTTTTCAGAATGTTTTGGAATATTTGTCCTCTCCCCAAATGTGTCACGACCGAAACACAGTAATAATAATTTAATTAGAAGGGTTATATTGACCTATTAAGATTTTGCTTACATCTACATTGTAAATATATATTTTTTGCTATTTTATAAAAAAAAATGTCCAGAGGTAAATCAATAACAATTACATTTTTAACAATATTTAAATTGTAATTTATGAGATTTGTTGTATTCTGAATCCAATCTTTCTTTGTAAAAGGCATAAAGTTGATCATACTGATTTCAAAGTTAAGGATGCATTAGTTTGAATATACATTGAACCAAAAACTATCATAACATCTTAGCTGATAATTCAGTATACTTTATTTTTGACAAAGCATCCCATGTTTCGGTAGCTGTGGAGAGACTCCAGGTGCTTTCACAACTTCAGCCAAATACCAGAACAGCAGTGTTGGAGAGCCTACTTTCATAATACAGTTCCTTAATATTAAAGGGAAAGTGCACCCAAAAATGAAAGTTCTGTCATCATTTACTCAACCTGTATGAATAGGTGCGTCCCAAATTGCATACTTATGCACTATTCTATGACGTTTTTTAGTATGAATAGTGCGAGTAGTGCGTTCACACTGTAAATACCAAAAAGAAAAAGTGCACTTTAAATACCCGGATGATGCACTTAAATAACTATTTAATAAAAATTAAGTGTAGAATGTTGGACACTTCATGCATTCAACTGTTGCAGCTTTAATTACATAGCGATGGGGGAGGGGCTATCAGACTCTAATTATGAATGACAAAATTATCTTATATAATTCATACACTACATGGTTGAGTACATAGTGCATAAGTGTATGAGTGCATGGTGTATAGAGAGTCATTTGGGATGCAGCTAATTTCTTTCAGCTTTTGAACACAAAAGAAGATATTTAAAAAATGTTGGTAACCAAACAGTTGACGGCAGCCATTGACTTCCATAGTATGGTAAAAAACACTATGGAAGTCATTGGCTGCTGTCAGTTGTTTGGTCTTCTTTTGTGTTCAGCAGAAGAAAGAAATTCATACAGGTTTGGAACAACTTGAGGGTGAGTAAATGATGACAGGATATTCACTTTTTTGGCGAACTAGCCCTTTAAAATAGGTAAAGGAGTTGCAATTTTAGAAGTTTTGCTAACTTCAAACTCTCTGTACGATGACTTTCAAAGGCATGTCAACGAACCCAATGTCAGCAAATCCAAATGCTGAGAGTGTTTCTAACTAATTAGGGTTATGTACACGGGCCATTCTACAGAATTGGTCCAAAATTAGAGTTAAAACGTCTTGGAAATAAAATGTTATGTATGCAAATTGTATAATATCCAAGGTACATGTTTCTAGTAATTGTGCAGGTAATTCTCATATTGTGTTTTCAGAATGTTTTGGAATATTTGTCCTCTCCCCAAATGTGTCACGACCGAAACACAGTAATAATAATTTAATTAGAAGGGTTATATTGACCTATTAAGATTTTGCTTACATCTACATTGTAAATATATATTTTTTGCTATTTTATAAAAAAAAATGTCCAGAGGTAAATCAATAACAATTACATTTTTAACAATATTTAAATTGTAATTTATGAGATTTGTTGTATTCTGAATCCAATCTTTCTTTGTAAAAGGCATAAAGTTGATCATACTGATTTCAAAGTTAAGGATGCATTAGTTTGAATATACATTGAACCAAAAACTATCATAACATCTTAGCTGATAATTCAGTATACTTTATTTTTGACAAAGCATCCCATGTTTCGGTAGTGACTGCACACTTTCAGTAGCGACAGTAATGCTTTGCTAGCGACTAATATACTAAAACATACAAAAAAACTGCATAACTGAACAAAAATTGTGCTTATTTCCCCCAAATATGAAGATTATGAGTTCTCTTTGGTCACTACCGAAACATGTCTTCATTGATAACACCCCACAAAAAACAAAGATGTCACTACCGAAACTCCACCAAATGTTGTATTTTTAAAAACAACAATGGAAGACAAAATACAAAAATTATTTCAATATAATTTTGAAGATAAGTTGAGATTTAGGGGTTAGGGTTCGGGACAGGCACCTCCCAATTGAAAGTACCCAATAAATACTCATTTTATATATATATTAAGCTTACTAATATTTTAAATATTATTGTGGGTTTCAATAGAGAGTAGAAGGATCTTAGTAAACATGGTTGTGGGACCGCAGTTTGCACCAATTCTGTAGAATGGCCCATACATGTTTCGTATGTAAAATAGAGTATAAACAGAGGAAATATGTCTGTCTGGCATTGTCTTACTGTGTTTCTAACAGGAAACAGAGAAGATGATTGCAGAGCTGAATGAAACATGGGAGGAGAAGCTCAGGAAAACCGAATCAATACGACAAGAGAGGTGAGAACTGGCACACCCCGACGAAGTGTTCAAAATGTGTGAACAGTTATAACACAGACTGTTGTAATGGACTGAATTAGGATGTCATTTAAGGAATAACTTTGCTATGCTAAGACACGGACAGAGCAAACCGACCTAGATATCTGGGCTGAAAAGTTGTGTTTTACTACAGTCTACGTCTAACCTGCGTCTGTGTGAGAGAACGATAGCTCTCCACACCAGCAGGTGGCAGTAGTCAGTAGACATTCAAAAGGGAATCTGAAAGAGTTGGGATGTGGATATACTAAAGTGTAAACGAAGCTGCGCTTGCTTACCATTTTCTCGCTCGCTCGATTATGTGGTTTGCTTGCGTTTGTCACTTGCATTTTTACATATTGTGGATTAAATAGTGTCAACAGTGCGGAACACACTGCAAAAATTATGAAATTATACTTTTACCATTAAATATTGTAGTGTAATTGATACACTACCAGTCAGAAGTTTTTTAACAGTTTAATGTTTTTTAAAGAATTATCTTCTGTTCACCAAGACTGCATTTATTTGATTCAAAATACAGCAAACGCAGTAATATTGTGAAATATTATTACTATTTAAAATAGCTGTTTTCTATGTGAATATCTATTAAACTGTAATTTATTTCTGTGATGCGCAGCTGTATTTTCAGCATCATTCCTCCAGTCTTCAGTGTCACATGATCTTCAGAAATCAGTATAATATGCTGATCTGCTGCTCGAGAAACATTTCTGATTATTATTATGTTGAAAAGAACTTTTTCAGGTTTTTTTGATGGATAGAAAGTTCAGAAGAACAGCATTTATCTGAAATAGAAATCTGTCTTTATCATCACTTTTGATCAATTTAAAGCAATTTCCCTCCCAAAAAAAAAAAAAAAAATATATATATATATATTTATATGCCATATATATATATATATATTTATATAGTTTTTCTGGTTACTTTCTTTAGATTAGGGAACACTATTCCCTATTAACTGGTTGCTTATCAGCGTGCATATTACTAGCATATTGTCTGTTTATAAATCACACATTAATGTCTTACTATGACTATATTCTAGATTCCTTAACCCTACCACATACCTAAACATAACTACTACAACAACTACTTTCCTTACTATCAATAAGCAACAAATTAGGAGTTTATTGAGGGAAAACTCTTAATTAATGGTGAATATGTGTTCCCTAATGTAAAGTGTTACCGTTTTTATCAATATTTGTGAATCAGTTTTTTATTTATTTATTTTCCATTTTAAGTTTATTTAAAGTTTAGCCATTTTGTTGTGTTTTTGTTATTTTTAGTAGTTTTTTTGTTTTTCCTATATGTTTATATAGTTTTTATTCATTTTTATTTCAGTTTTAGTTATTTTAGCACATTAAGTTAAACACAAGTTAAACTAAATTAAAATTAGAAAGCAACTAGCATAACAAGTTTTGGTAACACTTTGCAATAAGGTTCCATTAGTTCATGTTAGTTAATGTATTAACTAACATGAATGAACAATGAGCAATAAAAGGAATAACTTTGCTATGCTAAGACACGGACAGAGCAAACCGACCTAGATATCTGGGCTGAAAAGTTGTGTTTTACTACAGTCTACGTCTAACCTGCGTCTGTGAGAGAACGATAGCTCTCCACACCAGCAGGTGGCAGTAGTCAGACATTCAAAAGGGAATCTGAAAGAGTTGGGATGTGGATATACTAAAGTGTAAACGAAGCTGCGCTTGCTTACCATTTTCTCGCTCGCTCGATTATGTGGTTTGCTTGCGTTTGTCACTTGCATTTTTACATATTGTGGATTAAATAGTGTCAACAGTGCGGAACACACTGCAAAAATTATGAAATTATACTTTTACCATTAAATATTGTAGTGTAATTGATACACTACCAGTCAGAAGTTTTTTAACAGTTTAATGTTTTTTAAAGAATTATCTTCTGTTCACCAAGACTGCATTTATTTGATTCAAAATACAGCAAACGCAGTAATATTGTGAAATATTATTACTATTTAAAATATCTGTTTTCTATGTGAATATCTATTAAACTGTAATTTATTTCTGTGATGCGCAGCTGTATTTTCAGCATCATTCCTCCAGTCTTCAGTGTCACATGATCTTCAGAAATCAGTATAATATGCTGATCTGCTGCTCGAGAAACATTTCTGATTATTATTATGTTGAAAAGAACTTTTTCAGGTTTTTTTGATGGATAGAAAGTTCAGAAGAACAGCATTTATCTGAAATAGAAATCTGTCTTTATCATCACTTTTGATCAATTTAAAGCAATTTCCCTCCCAAAAAAAAAAAAAAAAATATATATATATATATATATATAAATTACACTACACTGAATGGTATAGTGTTTAATGTTACAAAAGCTTTTTATTTCAGATAAATGCTGATCTTTGGATCTTTATATTCATCAAAGAATCCTGAAAAAATTTACTCAACTGTTTTAAATATTAATAATGATAATAAATGTTTTTTTGAGCAGTAAATCAGCATATTATACTGATTTCTGAAGATCATGTGACGCTGAAGACTGGAGTAATGATGCTGAAAATCACAGAAATAAATTATATTTTAAAATATAATCAAATAGAAAACAGGTATTTTAAATAGTAAAAATATTTCACAATATTACTGATTTTGCTGTATTTTGGATCAAATAAATGCAAGCTTGGTGAGCAGAAGAGACTGATTTAATAAACATTAAAAGTTCAAAAACTTTTGACTGGTAGTGTGTGTTGCATTAAAATTTATATTTTAAATTAGTCTAAATAATTTACTAAATAATTTGAAAATCAATATGAAAAATAAACTTGTAAAATATATTAGATTTAAGAATATACATATATTTTATAAAATAATAATAAATGCATTTCTCCTTCAGATAGCAACTTGTTGATTCTGTAACACTAGTATGATATCGTATAGTATTTCTCAGAAATGAAGAAGTAGAACACTGTAGTTGTTAATATATTAGACAAAACTGTTAAAGTAAGTAAGGACAGAGATTAAGTGCTTCTTTGCTTCTGCGCTCAGGTGTTCTCAGCGCTGTCAAAATAAAAGTCTGACACTTATCGGCCAATGCAATGAATTACAAAGATGCTGAATATTAGCCAATATAGACCAATTTGGAGTAGACGTCGACACTGTGGTGGCAGAAAAACACTGGGAACAAGTGGAGGCAAAGGGTAAAAATGTATTGTTGTGCCTTTGGATGTCAGAATCAGAATGCAAATAATTTGTATATAACACTATCATCAAAGACAGCATTTGAAGCTAAACGCTGACATTTTAAACGGACGGACTACGGATGAAAGCTGCTATGATTCACCTACTATTAAAGCATCATAATCATAAGCTTCATAATATTCACATATGCAGTCCATAGGGGACATATTATATTAGCCCTACAGTTACAGCATGAAATAGCCTACTATTTAAACCTATAACGTTTAACTATTTTATCTCACAATTCAGATTTTTGTTGTTGTTGTTGTTGTTTCTCGCAAAAGCAAGTTTATATCTCCTAGTTCGGACTTCATGACTCGGTTTAACTCAAGTTTGTCGATTCTGAGAGAAAGTGTGTGATTATAAACTGAGCCGAGGGGAAAAGAGAGAATGACGAGTTGATTTTTCTTATCAGAATTGTGAAATATAATCTCGGGGTTGCGAGAAAAAAGTCAGAATTTTGAAATATAAACTCGAAATTACCTTTTTTTCCGTGGCTTCCGTAGACTGCTACTTTAAAACTGTTGTTTTCTGCCACCAGATAGGCTCCGCCCATAAAAATGTCATCACTTGTCACCAAATCGGTCCATATTTCACCCATGGCAATATATTTGTCAATCACTAGTCACTGAGTATTTGCTTGACAAAGCGCATGCTGCTTAAGTGATGAAATGAATGCTTTTGTCGCTGCTTTCTCATTTTAGTCATTAAATTAGTGAGCGTGATTATGGACAATAGTCATTGCATTTGCTGTGGGGTCACAGTCACAGCCACGTCATGCCCCACAAACCATCTCTGATATTTTCTAACAATACAGAAAAGTGCATTTCCAGTTGATCGACAGGAGATCTCAGCAGTGACTCCCTCCCTCCCTCCAGATTGTTTTAGACTATTATATCAGGGTTAACCAACTAATCGCTTGTTGGATGACTAGTCAACAGTCCTTGCCCGTGTGTGCTTTACGAGTCCTTTCAGTGACCTGTCCTTGGCTGGAATGATCTGCAATGTGGGCCAGGCTTTATGCTGATGGCTCTGTGAGACTAACACAAGTGTCAGCGTCTCTGTCTGTGTGTGACACATTAGGGAGGCGCTGCTGGCTGAGATGGGTGTGTCTGTGAAAGAGGATGGAGGAACAGTGGGTGTCTTCTCGCCCAAAAGAGTGAGTCAACTCATATTTAATTGTATAGTGCGGATCACAATGCATGTTGTCAAAGCAGCTTTAGAGGAAGTGAAGGTGCGGTCGTGCTTACTGTTGTCGTATGTTCACATCATTTCAGTAGGAATTCGCACGATTGAGAATTTCACATGAGGCTGAAAGATTTCCATCAGATTTAAGTTTGAAGGTTTGACTCACTGAGCAACAGGAAGCTGCTTGGTTTAAAAGGATCTTCTGTGTCAGCTGTGCTTAATGTATCAGTGTTGACAACACATAATCAACCTTTTTTGCCCATTAAATTTTCCTAATCATAAGCTTCATAATATTCACATATGCAGTCCATAGGGGACATATTATATTAGCCCTACAGTTACAGCATGAAATAGCCTACTATTTAAACCTATAACGTTTAACTATTTTATCTCACAATTCAGATTTTTGTTGTTGTTGTTGTTGTTTCTCGCAAAAGCAAGTTTATATCTCCTAGTTCGGACTTCATGACTCGGTTTAACTCAAGTTTGTCGATTCTGAGAGAAAGTGTGTGATTATAAACTGAGCCGAGGGGAAAAGAGAGAATGACGAGTTGATTTTTCTTATCAGAATTGTGAAATATAATCTCGGGGTTGCGAGAAAAAAGTCAGAATTTTGAAATATAAACTCGAAATTACCTTTTTTTCCGTGGCTTCCGTAGACTGCTACTTTAAAACTGTTGTTTTCTGCCACCAGATAGGCTCCGCCCATAAAAATGTCATCACTTGTCACCAAATCGGTCCATATTTCACCCATGGCAATATATTTGTCAATCACTAGTCACTGAGTATTTGCTTGACAAAGCGCATGCTGCTTAAGTGATGAAATGAATGCTTTTGTCGCTGCTTTCTCATTTTAGTCATTAAATTAGTGAGCGTGATTATGGACAATAGTCATTGCATTTGCTGTGGGGTCACAGTCACAGCCACGTCATGCCCCACAAACCATCTCTGATATTTTCTAACAATACAGAAAAGTGCATTTCCAGTTGATCGACAGGAGATCTCAGCAGTGACTCCCTCCCTCCCTCCAGATTGTTTTAGACTATTATATCAGGGTTAACCAACTAATCGCTTGTTGGATGACTAGTCAACAGTCCTTGCCCGTGTGTGCTTTACGAGGCGTTTCAGTGACCTGTCCTTGGCTGGAATGATCTGCAATGTGGGCCAGGCTTTATGCTGATGGCTCTGTGAGACTAACACAAGTGTCAGCGTCTCTGTCTGTGTGTGACACATTAGGGAGGCGCTGCTGGCTGAGATGGGTGTGTCTGTGAAAGAGGATGGAGGAACAGTGGGTGTCTTCTCGCCCAAAAGAGTGAGTCAACTCATATTTAATTGTATAGTGCGGATCACAATGCATGTTGTCAAAGCAGCTTTAGAGGAAGTGAAGGTGCGGTCGTGCTTACTGTTGTCGTATGTTCACATCATTTCAGTAGGAATTCGCACGATTGAGAATTTCACATGAGGCTGAAAGATTTCCATCAGATTTAAGTTTGAAGGTTTGACTCACTGAGCAACAGGAAGCTGCTTGGTTTAAAAGGATCTTCTGTGTCAGCTGTGCTTAATGTATCAGTGTTGACAACACATAATCAACCTTTTTTGCCCATTAAATTTTCCTAAAGTGACCACACCTTATGATTTCTACACATAGCGGCGCTTTCACACAGAATGCGTTTTTCGTTCCACTGTGCTACTTTTCCATTGTTTTCTTATGTGAATGTGCAAGATTGTTGTGTTGGACCATTGCATTCGTGTCTTTTGCAGCATCTCGTGCATGACGAGTCTTCTCAAACGTCTCTAGACCTTGCATTTTTTCCCCATTCCACTGCCCACGTCTCTCATTTTTCAAAGCAAAAAAACATTCTGTGTGAATAGCCCCATGCTCACTATCCTAGCTCTTAATGAGCCCGATTAGGTCCAAAATGCATGAGTTTAAGCATGAGTTTTTTTCCTCAGACGCCCCACCTGGTGAATCTGAACGAGGATCCTCTGATGTCAGAGTGTCTGATCTATTACATTAAAGATGGAGTCACCAGGTGAGCAGTGAGTTTCTGAAGGAGTGGTCAGTTTCTGTAGACGTACTGCACTGTGTCTCACAGCTCGCTGTGTGTGTGTGTGTGTGTGTGTCTCACGGCTGTGTGTGTGTGTGTGTGTGTGCGTGTGCGTTGCAGGGTTGGTCAGGAGGATGTGGATATTCGTCTTAGCGGTCAGTTTATAAAGGAGCTGCATTGCGTCTTCTGCAGTGAAGTCAATGAGAATAACGAGGGTGAGAGTGATCACATGACATTCGCTGCATTCACTGTTTCACACAAATGTAAAGGCAACGTTACAAAAGATTTCTGTGCTTTTGAGTAGCATCAAATAATCCTGAAAACAATGCATCACGGTTTCCACAAAAATATGAAGCAGCTCAACTGTGTTCAACATTGATAATAATCAGAAATGTTTCTCGAGCAGCAGATCAGCATATTATACTGATTTCTGAAGATCATGTGACACTGAAGACTGGAGGAATGATGCTGAACATACAGCTGCGCATCACATTTTAACTGATATTCACATAGAAAACAGCTATTTTAAATTATAATAATACTTCACAGTATTACTGTATTTACTGTATTTTTGATCAAATAAATGCAGCTTCGGTCAGCATATAAGAGAGTTATTTCAAAAATATTAAATAGAAATCTTACTGACACCAAACTTCAACCAAAGTTTATGTGTCAAAAATCATATAATTGATCAAAAATCATATGTAGACCTGTATTTTGCTATGATTTTCTGGACATGAGAATGACAAAGCACTTATTTATGTTCATATAATCATTATAATCACAAAACCAAATATCTCTCTGTCTCTGTGTGTGTGTGTGTGTGTGTGTGTGTGTGTGCCAAAATGCATGAGTTTAAGCATGAGTTTTTTTCCTCAGACGCCCCACCTGGTGAATCTGAACGAGGATCCTCTGATGTCAGAGTGTCTGATCTATTACATTAAAGATGGAGTCACCAGGTGAGCAGTGAGTTTCTGAAGGAGTGGTCAGTTTCTGTAGACGTACTGCACTGTGTCTCACAGCTCGCTGTGTGTGTGTGTGTGTGTGTGTCTCACGGCTGTGTGTGTGTGTGTGTGTGCGTGTGCGTTGCAGGGTTGGTCAGGAGGATGTGGATATTCGTCTTAGCGGTCAGTTTATAAAGGAGCTGCATTGCGTCTTCTGCAGTGAAGTCAATGAGAATAACGAGGGTGAGAGTGATCACATGACATTCGCTGCATTCACTGTTTCACACAAATGTAAAGGCAACGTTACAAAAGATTTCTGTGCTTTTGAGTAGCATCAAATAATCCTGAAAACAATGCATCACGGTTTCCACAAAAATATGAAGCAGCTCAACTGTGTTCAACATAATAATAATCAGAAATGTTTCTCGAGCAGCAAATCAGCATATTATACTGATTTCTGAAGATCATGTGACACTGAAGACTGGAGGAATGATGCTGAAAATACAGCTGCGCATCACATTTTAACTGATATTCACATAGAAAACAGCTATTTTAAATTATAATAATACTTCACAATATTACTGTATTTACTGTATTTTTGATCAAATAAATGCAGCTTCGGTCAGCATATAAGTTAGTTATTTCAAAAACATTAAATAGAAATCTTACTGACACCAAACTTCAACCAAAGTTTATGTGTCAAAAATCATATAATCGATCAAAAATCATATGTAGACCTGTATTTTGCTATGATTTTCTGGACATGAGAATGACAAAACACTTATTTATGTTCATATAATCATTATAATCACAAAACCAAATATCTCTCTGTCTCTCTGTGTGTGTGTGTGTGTGTGTGTGTGTGTGTG